ATGCTCATCAGCCCCAGAAGGACTGTGGCTCTTAGTCTCTTAGCACATGGGGGTGGAGGGTGGGATCAGGTTCATCCTAGAAGCAGCTCTTGGTTTTCAGTGGACATCCTATTTTCTTCCTAATACTTTCCAGCTGAGTTGACTTCAGGCATGGGGCAGTCAAGCGGTTTACTCAATCACCCAGTGAAATAGACCAGCTGGGACTTGAACTCTGGGACTTTGCTGGTGCACAGTCCTTGCCCTAGTCAGTCACCCGCTCTGCTTCCTGGTTTTAGCCGCCTCTCTGGCTGTACCACGCAGCCAGCGTGCTGTGTCTGGCACAGCCCGTCCTCCCGGCTGTCTCTGCTCATGACTAGAATAAGACGCGTGTTACAGGTCAAGTCTGAAAGTTCTGGCAGCGCCGTGTAAGGCAGATTGCTCCATGCCTGCTCAAAGCATCCAGTGTCTGTCGAAAGCCAGATTGAAGATAGCTAAACTCACACGCCAAGATTCCAAAGGGAAAAACTTAGCTCACATTTTTCCTTTGCATGGTGATTTTTCTTCCTCTCCTTCACCCCCCCCCCTTTCCTTTCTTTCTTTCTTTTTTTTAAAAAGGGAATCCCCATGTTTACAAGTTGAAATCCAAAATGCACAAGTGGTCAGTTCACAATTCTGTGACCCATGAACATCTGTGGGCCCGGGTATTCCTTGGGAGTCAGCAGTGCTCGGAGCTGTGAGCCAAGCCTGTCCTAGGCAGAAAAGAATTCTCCAGCGAGTGGAACAGTCAGTGAGTGAGGAGGCCTGGGAGCATTGAGGGCCTGGTTATCCTCTAGTTCTAGTTTTTCAGGGGCATGTCTGCACTCCACTTCAACTAGTTTTATGAGCTGCATTTGACTTTATTTTTTGAGGTGGGTCCATCTGAAAATCCTTACAGGAAGCAGGACTTGAATCTTCATTTTCCCTTTAAGAAAAATAAAACTCTATAATCTGAGATGGGCAAAGGTTGCCGAAATCTGTTTATCCAGAAACAAGAACCTTTCTGTATCCTTCGAGTGGAGAGAAAAATCTAGAATAAAATAGATTTATTTTGACATCTGTCTCTGAGGGCTCGTGTTTGAAAACCAATAGGGTATCCCTCTGTGGAGGGGTCCCACAGTTCCCACTCTTAGGAGGGCCACACAGGGAGGGCTTTAGTGTGGCAGATGGTACTGGGTGTGGCTGAATGTGCCTCATTATTTCTATTCTGGATTCTAGGTCAGTAGATGGACTTTAGCTATATCATCATTTTAAGTTTTAATTTGGTAGATACTCAAAAGCTAGTCAAATCCTCCCTGGAGAAAGTTAGTGTGTGATGTATTTGCCTCTCCCAACTAGACCGTGGACTCTTCATCTATAAATGAAGGAATGGACCAGACAACTGCTGAGCCCCACTGCAACTTTAGGGGACTGAGATTTTAAGCTGGCTTCTCTCCTATTTGGAGTTTAGTTCCTCTGCTCTAACTTTTCTGCTGTAATCTGGATGTTATGGGCTGAAATGTGTCCCCACAAAATTCATTTGTTGAAGTTCTAACCCCCAGGACCTCAGAAGGTGACTCTATTTGGAGATAGGGTCTTTAAAGAGGTGATTAAGTCATTAGGGTGGGCCCTAATCCAGTATGACTGATGTGGTTATAAGAAGAGGAGTTTAGGGCATAGAGAAACACAGAGAGAAGACCATGGGAAGACACGGGGAGAAGATGGCTATTTACAAGCCAAGGAGAGAGGCCTCAGGAGAAACCAACCCCACTGACACCTTGATCTCAGACTTCTAGCCTCCAGAACTGTGAGGAAATAAATTCCTGTTGTTTAAGCCACCTGGTCTGTGGAACTTTGTTATGACAGCTCTGGCAAACTAATACACTGGGTTACACCACAACGACTTTGCTGAGTTGTGAAAGAAGCTATATGTGTTTTTCTGAACAGACTCTTAATATTGGTTTCAGCCTAAAATAGGCTTTCCTTTTGCAGGATAGTCAAAATACTTTTTTTTTTTTTTTAAATTAGTTTCTTTGTCATCAGATGTGAAGTAAGTCATTTTAGTAAAATAAGTCCTCTTTGTTTTTTTTTTTTTTTTGTAAGGAAGATCAGCCCTGAGCTAACATCCATGCCAATCCTCCTTTTTTTGCTGAGGAAGACTGGCCCTGGGCTAACATCCGTGCCCATCTTCCTCCACTTTATGTGGGACGCTGCCACAGCACAGCCTGACATGCGGTGTTTCGGTGCGCGCCCGGGATCCAAACACATGCAGCTAACCGCTACGCCACGGGGCCGGCCCCAAGTCCTCTTTGTTTTTACTTGAAAAGAATTTCACAGTTTTGACCTACACAACTATTTTTCTGCATGGTTATGGGTCATCATTCTGCCTTTTAAGAAACGCTGCCATTATCCGTAAAATTCATTTAAAGCCAAGTAGCTCATTGGATAAACCCGCAGATAACGGAACATCTATAAAGACCTCTAGACCAAACGAGCAACTCAGATGGCAGCAGAGTCCAGGTTTTGTTTAGTAATCTTGCTTTTAAAGTTCACAAGAGTCCCACATCACGTGGCGGGATTACAGAGGAACAAATCAAGTGACGGGGAAAGGTAACCACTCGTCCCTTTGCTGTTAGGACTCTCAGATTCTTACTTCAAGTAAGAATAAAGCACGTTATTACCAAGATGCATGTTTCTTTCATTAACTACCAAGCCTCTGATTCTTTTCTTTTACAAAACAGACACATGTAGTTGGATGTGGTGTCCTATATTTAGAAAGCATGGGGACTCCCCCCACCCCCCGCCCCCTATAAGTTCCATTTGATGCAGCAATGAAATTTCTCATTCAAATTTCTCAATCAAAACTTGGGAGGTTAGAATCATCCAGCTTTTGAGGCTGTACATGTCTGAGAGAGACCAGCGTACACACTGTGAGACATGGCGTGGCACACCTGTCCTTTCCCACGTCACTATAGACGTGCAGCATAGACACACGCCACCCTAGGCTGATGGTTCCAATGCAGCTCCCTGACAGCAAAGCCACCAGTAGCCACAGCGATAGAGTCAGCTGTTTAGGGTTTTATACACACAACTAGATGAATGAGTGACTAGCTCATTTTTTCAGCCAGCTTTTTGGTGTCATCTAATTACGAGAATGAGTTCGTAGATTTTTAAAAATGCATCTTTCCAAAAATCCCATCTTGAGGGACAAAAGCTTGGCCAATTAAGAAGGCTGAGGGGGCTGTGAGGAACTGCAGACACTTTTATTTTCAGCTCTCAACAGAATGGAAAATTTTCAACTTAGGTATATTCATTTATTTATATGGGTAATGAATAAGTTAAGGAACACTTCATTCGGACACAGATTGCTTTTATTTTAGCTAAGCTAATGTTTCAGTTCCATATATATTTTTGAATTTCCATCAGTGTCAAACATCATTTTTTTCTTTCTTCTTAAAAAAAAAAAAAGATTTACAAGCACTTTTACGGCACTCAAGGAAAGTAGGCTGAAGGTTCATAATAATAATTTTTCCTTTTAAAAAACATCCAACAGACCAAAATAAAATCATTTTAATTAACTCCTTCCTGAGTAACTAAAACCTTGGAATGTGCTGAAAGGTTATAATAAATAAGGCAGTCAAAGATCAACCAGCTTAAAATGTATTTTTTAAATTAAACTATGTAAAATGTACAATATATTTCATGAAGTACAAACTCTGTTGGGCTCAGGGCCAAAGAAATGCTGTCGTGTGTGCCAAATAAATTGATGAGGTGCCCTGACTTTTAGGACTTAGAGGCTATTTTAGGGACAAAATAACATGAAGCCCCTGCTAGGGAATCCGTTAGCATCTTTTGTTGTGATGTGATAATGATCACTGCTGACAATAAATGCCTTTGAACACAGGTAGACATGCTCATGTGAACTTGCACTAAAAGGATGCGTGTGTTGAGTGATCAATTGTCCTGATTTTCTGACAACAGCAGAGAACACTTAGCCAACTCCACTTCGTTTTCAGATGGTGAGATTGCACAGCGTGTAAACTAATTATTGCTCTTTATGTGCAGTTTCGTAGAAGTGACTCACAACGGACCAGGCAACAGTTCTTGTTTTTGTTCTGAATATGATAGCTGTTCTCTGCATTGCTTTTTTAAGGTCAGCCTTGTGGTAGGGCCCTGGTCTCTCTACACAGGACAAAGGATATTTCCTCTTCTAAGAACATTTCTCTTAATCACTTTCCTGCCCCAGTTCTCTGCGGCAGAGAAGAGGCCCGCAAGAGGCCAAACGCTGGACTTTGTGCCCCTGTGTTCCCAGCCTTCACTGGACTCCTGCGGGGTGGAGCCTTCTGAATACATCTCATGATAAAGTAGCTTTAGTGCACACTCGACAGGGTCCAAATGACTTGCTTTATATCTTGGCTACCGTCCAATTTTAGTGAACGAAGGAAAAACTCTAGAGACTTGTTGGTTTCTGAACAGTAGAAAACGTGCAGCTTGTATAAAGTCAGGGTCTTATTTACTATTAAGTATTCCCAACTCACGCTTTGCTAGTGCTCTTGAAGGGCTGGCTCTAGGGGAAAAAACATGAAGGAGACAAAATTTGTCGCCTGCCACCATCAGCTGCACCCTTGCTTCTCAGCTGCCTATATATTATCCACCCAGGACTATAAGTATTTTCAGGGGTGGCCTGGCTGTTAGAGATGAAAACATTTCAGAATGCAAAGAACCAGGGCATCATGGATAGGTGGCGGACGTTGGGAGTGGGATGGGGAGAAGAGATATTTTGGAGCAATGGGACTGCCCAACATCTATCCATCACTCTGGGGGCAGACACCTACTCGTAAAGCTGGTCCAACAGTCTCTTACCCAGAAGCTCTCGCTGTTTCTCTTCTTGATGTCCTAGTAAGGGTTCTCGGAGCAAGCTGCTTCCATAGGAAAAGGGACTGTAGTTCCACTGCTTCTGCATAGAACTCAGTACCCCTTTTTACCAAAAACACGTACCTGTTAAGGGACCAGAAGGTGAAAGATACCAGGTACTGTGGGACCCAACCTGGCTAGGGAGGTGCCTGATAAATGATGCACTGTCTGGGGTCAGGCTTACAACTTCTGCCACAGGAGTCAAATGCCAGAACTAAATGGGTTCCTGGGTTTCCAGTTAAAGCAATGCTGGGGAGAGAGATGTTTCATATTGGGTGCAAAGAACACAACCATGCCACTTTCCTGGTGTCACACGACCTCCAGAGATGATCTGTCTTGCCTACACTCTTCCTTACACAGCAAACAATTTTCTTTCCCTGCTATGCTACTTTGACATCTGTCAGAACGGTGCTTGGAAATGGAATATCTCAATGGAGTTGGCCATGCACATTGACCTTGAAATGTCCTCAAGGTTCTGGACTGGTTGGGGGTGTGGCCCAAGCTGACTTGCTCTTTCAGAGATAAGCATGCTGCTCTTGGTGACAATGTCTCCTGAGATGGACCAGAGGCAGAATTCTACCCATGTGGGTAGAAACCACTCATCCAGGGCCATCTTCCCTTTTGATGTCCTTATCAGTCTTACCTTCTCCTCTTAGATCCTTCTAGAATAGATTCCCTGATCTCTGAAGCGGTTTTGTATTTCTACCGAAATATACAAGTCTGGATGTTTCCTACCACTGAGGTAATATTTTTACAAGTCATTTTACAAATGATAAGTTATTGGGCTATGGACTGTATTCCTCCCCCTTCTCTCATTATACTAGAGGGGAAAAAGCTATTTTATGACGAGGTGCCTTGTGATGGAGCCACCTAATGCACCTGGGAAGGACCCGAGGAGCCAGGAAAAACACGGAATAAAATTAAACAAATAAAACCCGCAAAACCGGGCATCTCCCAATGACCCCAACATGTGGGAATGTTTTGTTCTTTTTAATGCCACCGAGCATTAATTTAGTCCCTTAAGGATTTGTCTTCCCCAAACAAAAAACTTTCTGGAAAAGGGAGATAAAGCCACTGGAGGCAACACAGTGCTGGCATCACCTCTTATAGATATCTTCTAGCCACTTCTCGTCATCTTGTTCTTCATCGTCAATCGGCTCCTCGGTCTCCAGTGGAGTCGGAATAAAGAACTGGGGCCTCAGAGGGGGCTTGCTGACGTGAGACTTCAGTCCGAACTTGCGCTTCAGCAGGTGGAATTGCTCTTTGACGTAGTGGTAGAACTCGTATTCATATCTCATCCGCTGGTAGAGCATCTGCACGGCCTCGGAGGAGGGGACGGTCTTCTTCACGGTCACAGTCATGTTTCCAAGTTTCCTATGCTCTGGAAAAGAACCGGGATTGCACATAAGCAATCGTTTGCAATTCTTTTGCTGTAAAGGAATAACGGTGCAGCCTCCAGGACCTGCATGATACCGGCAGATACCAAAGAAAGAAATTCGACATCCAAGGAATAGGAGGGAAAAATGGGTTCCCAACAATGCTCACCGTTCCAATGAGTGGAAAGATGTCACCGTATTCTAGCTGCTGATATCAACATTAGTTGACTAAACATACATGATCTAACGTTCTTGGGAATGTGTTCTAATGGAATGGGAACTATGCAATTTGACCACAATTCAATTTACTATAAGTTATGTATTCTTTTAAACAGCAAAATCTCCCTACTTTTCTTCTTTTATTTCTGTAAAGGGATTCACTTTCAGAAGGAAGCACAGAAAAAAGATCTCACCACGTTCTAATCATCTTTTTCTTTTTCTTTTAAAATATTGATATCTATTATTAATAGTTTAATTTCATACAAAATCCATTTGCATTCTACTATTTCAGCAAGGCATTTGTCTAGAAAAATAAAGGAAGGCCTGTTAGATTCCTTAAGTGCAATTTTAACTGTTGTAACTTTTGAATGGTTATTTTTTATGGTGGTAAATTATAACTAAAGTCTGCTTATTTTTATTAATTTTATATTAGTGATTAATAACACAATGTTATATATATTTTATATTTATGCTTAATAACATAAAAATGTCATATATATCATAAAATTTTAACCATTTTAAAGTGTACGTTTCATTGGCATCAATTACATTCACAATGTTGTGCACCCATCACTAGTATTTTCAAAATTCTGTCATCACTCCAAACAGAAACTCTGTACCCATTAAACACTAACTCCCTAAACCCACCCTCTACCCACCCCTCTCCAGTTAACCTCTAATCTACTTTCTGTCTATGAATTTGCCTATCTTGGGTACATCATATAAGTGGAATCATAGAATATTTGTCCTTTTGTGCCTGGCTTTTTTCACCTAGCATAATGTTTTCAAGGTTCATCCATATTGTATATGTAATGGTACTTCATTCTTTTTTGTGGCTGAATAATATTCCATTGCATGGATATACCACAATTTGCTTATCCATTGATGGACACTTGGGTTGTTTATACTTTGTGGCTATTGGGAAGAGTGCTGCTATGAATATTCGTGTACGACCATCTGTTTGAGTCCCTGTTTTCAATTCTTTTGGGTATATACTTAGGAGTGGAATTGCTGGCTCATATGGTAATTCTATGTTTAACTCTTTGAGGAACCACCAAACTGTTTTTCTCAGTGGTTGAACCACTTTACATTTTTACCAGCAATGTACATATGAAGGCTCCAATTTCTCCAAATCCTCTTCTACAATTGCTATTTTCCTTTTCTTAAAATTAGAACCATCCTAGTAAGTGTGAAGTGGTAACTCACTGTGGTTTTGATTTGCATTTCACTAATGACTAATGATGCAGAGCATCGTTTCATGTGCTTGGTGGCCATTTGTATATCATCTTTGGAGAAAGGTCTATTCAAGTCCTTTGAGTACTTTTGAATTGGATTGTTTTGTTGTTGAGTTGTAGGAGTTCTTTATATATTCTGGATATTCTGCATATATATCAGGTATATGATTTGCAAATATTTTCTCACATTCTGTAGGTTGTCTTTTCACTTTGTTGAAAGTTTTCTTTGATTAAAACAAGTTTTTAATTTTAATGAAGACCAATTAATCTATTTTTTCTTTTGTTACCTGTACTTTTGGTGTTATATTTAAGAAACCATTACCAAACCCAAGATTATGAAGATTTACCAAGGTATTTTCTTTTATCATCTTATTTTTAACTAAAACTTTTGTCACCAAATTTGAATAGGTACATTATTTACTGAATATAGCTCCAAATGGCTGTTTCCAAAATCAGATTCACCCGACAGGACAAAGACTTGTCATTTTTTTAGGATATTTGAGATACTTTCTGAAGCCTCCAACAGCAATTCTAAAGAAGGGATTAAAAAAATTCTCTGAGTAGTAACAGCCTCATTGAAATAAGGATATTGCCTTTCAAACTGAGTCTCTTAAAAGACATAAGACACATTTGAATATATCAGTTCTAGAATTTTTGTTCAAGAACTTGGCATAGTCTCCTCTAAAATGGGTTTATGACAGAACATTTTATAACATCTGTCTTCTCTGCAGATATTAACTATAGCTAATCTGAGGCGAGATATGTTAATAGGCTTCAAGTATAGATATCCCTTTGGGTTTTTAAAACACAAAGTTTAAAATATTGGTATCAAAGACAGACAAGGCACAAGGAGTTTTAAGTTAAACATTGAGAGGCATGAGAAAAATAATTCACTCATTTCCAGACTCCTACAATCCCTTCTTCTTTCTTTCTTTTTTTTTTTTGTGTGAGGAAGATCAGCTCTGAGCTAACATCCATGCTAATCCTGCTCTTTTTGCTGAGGAAGACGGGCTCTGAGCTAACATCTATTGCCAATCCTCCTCCTTTTTTTCCCCAAAGCCCCAGTAGATAGTTGTATGTCATAGTTGCACATCCTTCTAGTTGCTGTATGTGGGACGCGGCCTCAGCATGGCGGGACAAGCGGTGTGTCGGTGTGCGCCCGGGATCCCAACCCGGGCCACCAGTAGCGGAGGGCACGCACTTAACCGCTAAGCCACAGGGCCGGCCCCAATCCCTTCTTCTTGAAGCACTCTGAATTGTGTGGAGTTTTGTTATCTCATACCAAAAAATATTAGGATTTCTGTGATTTTAAAATAAATTCTTTAGCTAAATTATTTGACCCAATCCATTCCAAAAAGAATGTAAAGAAACTTGCAGAAATATATATGCTGCAATTAGCTAAATAGTTAAGGAAACTGGGCAAAGGGAGAATGAAGGTAGGAAAGGAAAAAGGAGAAACATCAGTGTTGGGGGTAATGGTTTCCCCTCCCCATATGGAAGGTTCTCTATACAGTGGTTGGGGTACTGCCTCCTGCCCAGCCCCTCTGTCAGGGAAGTAGCCCAGGTCCCAGGGCCAGAGGGGTTTCTCTGATGACGCATTTGGGAGAAGGGGTTGACAAGCATCTCCCCTCTGGGGAGAGTGTGCCACTCTGCAGAGACTGCACATCCTCCTGCAGAGGAGAGCGAGGGCTTCCAGCCATGCCTGTGACTCTGTGGGCAAGCCTGTCTAACTCAGGATGGTATATTACCAGTCCATTTCTCCTCACACCTAATAAAGCTAACATTTAGATCTCCATCCGTCTATCTCCAGTGTCTATTTCTCACTTAGTTTTGAACCCAGGTAGGGGAACATGAGTGATATTTATTAATCCCTCAAACCCCAATATTGAGTAACACAAAACATGTGTTATGGAATCCTAACTACTTATGCAGGAGGTGGGTCCAGAGTTTGGCCCTAAAGCTTCCAGCAGCCAACAAAGAAATTAACATTGTATATTGCTCTTCGTTTAAAACAACCTACTCACATCTATTCCTAGTGATAAAACCATAGAGAACATCTTCTGTGAATTTTCATAAGAAAAAACCATAATGGATTTAGCAGCATTTTAATAACACCCTTAGAGTAAATTCAGCCATGAGTTTCACAGGTGACAGAGGAAAACGGCAGGTTCAGAGTACTCAACTTTGGCTTGATCAGGGAATACACCACAGAAAATCCAGAGTAGAAGCTCTTAACCCTTCTGAAAACCTAACTAAAGCTCATGCTCAGAAAGACTGGGAGGGTATATAGACTTCCAGAAGCCCACCTAGGAATATCTTAGGCATTTATGGATCTGTTAAGAACCCTTGATTTTGAGAAATCAATGAACTGCATTTCCTTCAACAATCTTTCATATATCTTGTTTATTCTAATAAGTATTAGCCCCCAGTGTAACTGATAAATATTGGAGCTAATTATTTTATGTGCTGGTCAAGTGTAGAGTCATAAACATTTCAACAGCGAAGAAAGGAGGACTTGGATTTACATTTTATGAAAGGGGAGGGGCTTAACAGTCCCCGGAACTTAAACAGAAGGCCACCCTATCTTGTTCTGGAGGAAGACCCAAGGGAGTAAGCACGGGGGAGCCTAGATCTTTGTAAAGAAGTAATTTGGGATCTGTTTTATTGTAGGGCCTCAAAGCTCTGTAAGGTTAAAACACTATTTTCCTAAAAATAATGTACAGCGTAAAAAAAATAGTGTAATCACTGACCACAAAGCATCTAAGACAAGTATCCATTGAATTTTTAACCTAGAGCAAGGTAACTCCCTAGACTGATCTTTAAGATAAATTGGATGCAAAATGTTGCTCTATATAATGGACTGAATTGACTTGCTGTAAAGGATTATTAACATCAAGCCAGTAAAATTGGGGGAAGATTTTTAAAAATGATACCATGATGGATTTATACATGTCCCTCTTTGATCATGATCAGGTAATTGGTTTAATTGCTACAAAGCTACTCCTAGTTCATGACAATAAAACTCTCTTCCCTGCATGCTTTTCTCTACGGCTGGGGATGGGGGAGTGGGTGGGTGGGCACAGCAGGTAAGCAGCTCTGTCAAAAGTGACAGTATGTCATTCGAGCACAAGTGAAAAGAACTAGGACATATTTACATCATTATTTAACCGATTTGCCAAGAGATGGTGACGGTCTCAGCCGAGCCTGATCCCTTGTGGTGTATTTTTATGATAACAGCTACATTTAGTGAGGACTAAGGTGTATCAAGCATAAAGTGCCATAAACTAGGCACTTATACACATAATCATATTTAATCCTCACGATAGCCCCAGTGGAAGAGCCACATTACAGATGGAGAAACTGAGGCCGAGCAAGGCTCTGACCCGTTCAAGGTCACGCAGCTGAAGGGTGGCAGAGACAGGAGGGCCCACATGACAGTCCACTGCTATGCTTTCGCTTTATTGTTTGCCGCTGCAGAAAGGTCCACAACCTTATCACTATTCCTCACACATTTCTCAAAAACGGCACAGAGCATAATGGTGGCCGACAGC